GGGCAGTCCTGTTCCTCTCCCTTGGCTCCAGCTCTGCTGGGACAGCCTTGCTGCAAGGAAAGAGCCCACAAAGCAGCAATGGACCCAGCCCGTGCCCTGCCACAGTCACACATTAGAAGGTTTATTTTTGATTCCAGAGGATAACTTAATTTTCCAGAGGGAGTTTTTTTTTTTTCCATATTCTTTGCCCTTTATAGAAAGTTTCTGCAATCTTGACCCTAAGTATTTTGCTGGAAGTGAAGGGAAAGTGTCTTGCACATTTGTATCTTCAGCAACATAACATAATTTAAATCTGGTTCTTTGCAGTGTTAGCTATGATTGCAATTTCCTCTGCTAAGCAGAGTGTGAAATGACAGTTTTAGAAAAGAAAGCAAAATTTCAAGATATTATAGGGTAGATAAGCAAACTTTTGTGTGATTTGATTTGACTTGAGAGAGTGAAAAGCAACCCCTGAAGAAAACTCTGTCCGAGATAACTTCTTCATAGTGAGTTAACCATTACATATGTGAAGTAAGGCACCGGCTGGTTAATTACAAATACAAACCGTAGCAGGTTATGTTTTTATGTTTTTTATGCTTTTTTAGGTTCCTGAGTTTTGTGGATACCCAATAATTCCCCCGACTGTCCCACAGTTATAGCAGATTTAGCTGGTGCATCCTGGCTGTYGGATCCTGCTTTACCTTTGGAAGAAGGGAGCGACCAGCTGTGCATTCTGGCTGCTCGAGTGCATTATAATGCCCATTAAATAACCTGCATTCCTTGAATCTGTTGCAGATGGCAATTCGAGATATTGAAGCAATTCTAGGAATTACAGCGGAAAACAAACTGAAATTGGAAGAGGAGCAACCTTCTGCAGCAGATGCTCTGGAAGAATAGTTAACAGAAAACATTTAARTGCCATCTTCTTTATGTTTCTAGAAGCAAACTCTCATCTGTAAGAACAGGTTTGGTTTCCCTTTGTACTGTGAATTAATATGAACTGAGATAGGATATACAACCRATATCTGAGTTTATTTTTTAGTAGAACAATACTTATTCACAAAAAGAATCTGGTGAAAAGCAGAGGATCATAATAAATGTCCGTGATGTTCGTATTGTGAAAAGCGAGGCACAATATCTATTTTAAAAATCTTATTAATGGAATGATAGCCTCAATCTGCTCTGACCTGCAAAGCAGAGACCTTACAATTTTAGCAAGCGATTCCTCCAGCAAACCTGGAAGGTGCAGCCGAGCTYGTGAGACCTGCCTAAGGAGCGGGGACCAACAAACCGCTCCACGCGAAGGGATCCTCCCACTGCTTCATTATCCSTGCTGTTAAAGCAGTGCCTTAAATGTAGTCCACATTCATTTGCCTTCGGCTTCCAGCGGCAGGGTCCGGGGGAGCTTTGTCTGGGAAGCAGGAGGCTCTCCCTGCCCAGTGGTACTAGCAGAYACCCCGCTCCTGTGGGGCGAGTCCTGCTGTTGCTCGAGCCAGGGCTCTGCTCAGTTTGGGTTTGTCAACGTCCCTCCAGAAGCCTCGCACCCAACTCTCTCCTTGTCGTCTTGTTTCCGGCTACCTACAGCCTTTGGCACCAGTTATTTATGTTCACCTCCAGGTTGTTGAAAATAACCCCAATAGCGTTGCTTCAACATAGATGCTGAGAAGAGCATGAAAATTGTATTTGTTGGATGTTGTATTCTAGTATCCCGTGACTTGGGGGATCTATGCATCCATCAAATGTATTCTGTATTTCAGATACAGCTTTCTTTTACAGGAATAACACTGTGGTGKTACAGCAAAGTCTTCCTGACATACGTTATATTTGTGCATCTCGTATTTGTTATCTTTATCCATCAGATCTCTTGTCTTTTCTAAAAATACAACACAGTCTAAACAGCTCTGTAGAAGAGCTTATCTTTCTCCATCAGCTGTACCTACCTGCAGAGCATGGCCGGTGTCTTTAGTTCCTTCCCAAAAAGCTCAAGCAAAATTAGTTTTTAAGACAACAAGTAATGAATGTTTCAGCAGATCCCTGCCCTGCATGTCTGATGCCTCTCAGAGTCTTTGCTCTATTAGTTTCATATAAATCTAACACAAAAGATTTTTTTATTTTTACTTTGGTTGCAGAGGTACCTCATTACAGATGAGAATGTTTACATAAATGTCAATCTGTTCTTTAAAAACAAATCTAAAAGGGTTTATTTGTTTATAATTTTTGTTCCTTTCTGTCATGTAATCTCAGTATTGTCTTGGTACATACTGGAGACTGTGTAGATTTYGTAATGTGACATTTAGCCAATAAACTTGCTTTCTAGAAAACTTTTCCCCCTATGATTAGAACTGAGAGTAGCAAGGTTTTTTATGGCTGTGGTAGGTACAACATGCCTCACACTTGCCAAGGAATAATGTGCTAAAAAGCACAGCAAAATTGCTTAGGAATTCTTCAGACACAGCTCCGTTCAGACAGGACATGAGSGGCTTTTTTAATTCTACTTTGAGGGCCTGCAGACCAGGATGTTTTTCTGACTTCCATCCACACATTTGCAATATACTCTCCYATTTATTGCCAAGAAACTCTCTCTACATTTATCAGGTAGCTTCATAGCCTGGCTACATAATGCCCAATCTGATCGGGAACAGCAGCGTTGTGGAGGGCGCAATCGGCACGGGAGAGCGAGTTTCTTAAGGGTTAAGAAAAATGAAGCCTCAGTCCAAGCCAGAACAACATAAGGTCTGAGAGGCTCATTAGTTCACTGGCACTTAATAGACTGCAGTGTCCTAGGAGTAAATGAAACCTGCACTTCCTTATGTCTTTGTTCTGTTCTGACAAAAGAAAACTGTACCTGTTTTTGCACAGAACAAGTGATCTGAAAGTTCCCATGGTGAGAGAGATTTCTCAGTATGTGCAAAGTGTGAAATGTATTTCGAGGAAAAAAAGTTTTTAATTACTATTAACACTTCTGAGCCATGCGCTGATGGAAGGGTTGAAGCTGCTTTGCAGTCTCTCACATTCAACTCCCATGCTGCTGGTGCCAAAAATGTATTTTTTTCAGCAGTAGAGCAGCTATGAAGTGAAAATCTCATCTGCCAAGAAAAAGATGTATGTCAGAAACACAGTCATGGTTCTTGAACTCCGACTACTGGATTATATATTCCTGCTCACTAAAGGAATGATAGAGCTCCTGAATTGTAGCTTGAATTTTAGCACTATTCAGAACATGATCCAGGCTGCAAAGGAGTTCTAGGAATTGTAGGGATCAGAAGATAAAAGGCGTTTCAGGCATGGTTGCTCATCGGGAATTGCCAAAGAAAATCTGCAGCTAATGACAGAGCAAATACCCAGGCTGGTTCCACAGCTGCAAGGTGTGCAGGACCGCTTGCGGAATGGGATGAAGGGGAACAGAGTCTGGCAGTGATGGCAGAAGGCAATTAAAGTTTTGTGCTTTTGATGGGTAAGGGCTGTAAATGAAGATGTGCACTCAACTGCCAACGCTTCAAGAATCTTAACAGATTATTTCAAAGTACAGCAGCATAAAGCATGTTTTTGCAATAATTTATATGTTATCTGTAGCATGCACACAGTTAGGCTGCCTTTCAGCTTCAGCACAAAGATGGGCATTTCAGGAGATTGTTTTGATATAAAAAAATAATGCAGGATTATACCAGAATGCAACAGAGACCTTAACGGTGCAGGCAAACATCCTTAAGTGGAAGGTATGTGGAATGATCTCCAAAAAGCTTTCAGCCTCATCTCTGGAAAATACTTTATTTGACCGTGATTCTTGAGAACTCATCAAGTCTGCTGTGTTTTGCTCCTCGTTTTTAAGTACTGGTGCTCCCCAGTGCGTTTGTGGTCCGTGTTCGGCAAGAAGACTCACATCTACACGCACCTGGCTAGGGAAAACTTACACTGCTAGAGGCTGTAGTAGGATTGTTCTTTTTTTCTCATTCACTTTACATAGTAAGAGCAGCATAAATTTAACTGTAAATATTTTGAAATTAGCGCTTTTTAAAACTAAACTAATTGTGGTTATTTATGTTCCGTAGCCTTATATGGAACATACATTTATTGGAAGTGATTTTGCCCATGAAAGGTAATAGCAGAACATCACCCTTAGAGTGTAACACATCAGGCCTTCACCTCAGCGAGCCACAGCATCAGATTCCACTTTCTTTCTTATCTTTCGTCATTGTAATCACTAATAAAGATATTAAAGCTAACTATGTGCTCTATTAATTATAGGACAATGAACTCRAGTCAGATTTGTCTCTGGCAATGATTAATAATTGGGTCTGGTTCTACGCACCCATAGTACATTGAATTAAACAGGGCACCTTATTGGGTACTGATTAATTGGCACATTCATACCACATAGCTTAGTGGCTGAAGAATGCTGAGTTTGAGATATTGCCTGTAATTATTAGAAGAAAAAMCTGTTTCCATTTCCCAACTTACTCTTCTGTACGGTTTTTTTTCTTTCCTCGGAATGTTTAATGGCTGAAAACATTAGCTTTTATTTAGATAAATCACAGAACCTTAGTTRTGATTTTTAAATATGCCTCTCTCGAGTGGTGCAACAACGGGAACTACTTAAACCTCAGACATCCCTGTCAAATTCCACYATGGAAACGTGCTGTTGCCTCTCTGCAGCACGGCCTCAATACAGTTTTTCCCTCACTCTTCACTCCGATTCAAACTGTTGCCGCGATATGCGCGGGCGAGGCGCCGCACGGTCCGTTCGGCGCGCGCTGTGAACGGGACCATTTCCACAGCTCCGGGTGCCCCTTTCCCGCTCTTCTTCCTCCTCGTCGCCTCAGCGCGACCGTTAACGGCTGCGGGGCGACGCTGCCCCTCGCGCGCCCGCCCTTTCCCGCCCTCCGCGTGACCGTTGCTGCGCGCGCATGCGCGGTGCGGGGGAGGGGGGTGCGCGCACGCGCAGGGCGGCGCGCGGCGGCCCCGGTGTGGCGGCCGAGTGCCCGGCTCCGCGGCCGAGTGCCCGGCGCGGGATGCTGGCGCTGCGGCGGCTGCACGAGGCGGCGCTGCTGCTGCTGCTGCGGCCGCGCCGGGGCCGCCCGGCCGCCTCCGAGGTGCTGAGCCAGCACCTGCGCCAGCGCGGCCTGCCCCACTGGACCTCGTACTGCGTCAAGTACAGCGCGGTGCGCAACGACCAGTTCGGGCTGTCGCACTTCAACTGGCGCGTGGACGGCGCCAACTACCACGTCCTGCGCACCGGCTGCTTCCCCTTCGTCAAGTACCACTGCTCGCGCGCCGCGCCGCGCGACCTGGCGCTGCAGAACGCGGCCTTCAGCGCCCTCAAGCTCCTCAACGCCGGTGAGGGCGGCCGGGGACGGGCGCCGGGGGTGGGCGCCTCGCCGCGGCCTCGCTCGCTGTTCACAGAGAAACGCTAAAATTGCCTAAAACGGCCGCAGAGCGCGCGTGGAAGTGCTGCTTGCTGGCGGCGCCGCGGGAGCGTTTTGTCCGCCTCAGAATCCCCCGTTCCGCCGCCCTCGGCGCTCTGAGCGGATAACCCGGGCAGTTCGGGGACGGTAATTCGCTTCTTAGCGTTTCGGGCGATTTCCCCCTCTTTGCCTGCGGGCTGTGGCGAAGGCGGTGGAGGACGCGGGCCCGTTCTGGTCTTAAAGTGTCCCTGCAATAAAGTGTTGCTGCAGTGTAAATAGCAGTAGAGTATTGCTGCAGTGCAAATAGTTAAAAATGCAGTACTTAAAAAATGAGGATAGGTATGTTTTGAAATACATTAACAGTGGGGGTTCTAATTTTATCAGTTCATTTTCATATGTCTTTAAAAAAAAAAAAAAAAAAAACTTGCAGATGCTCACTTGCACGTTTTTGTGGTTCTTTTCTTCCATAATGTACCAGCCATTCCCATTTTGTGTTCTTTCAGGACCAGTATAGTGGGGAAAAAAAATGTAATTGACAAGATTGATTTCTCTGTAATAATTTTAAATCTTATTTTTCACTGCACAGTGTGACCTATCCCACCTTTCCTGCATGCACCTCGTGTGTTTTATATTTAAATGATCTGCAAGCATGATTAAAATGTCATCTCCCTCCTTCGACATCTAGCTTAAGCACCTAGGTAACCTTAAGCAGGTAAATTCAGTGTTTTAGCACCTCACTGGATGCAGGGTGTAAATCCATCTGTTTTTCCTCCCATGGTAGGTACAGTATTCATGGTGCCTGCGATAGCCGGTGACTCAGCARCACCACCAGCGCTAGCACTTTGTACGCAGCCTTTTCACCCAGCTGAGTTGTGCTGCAGCTGATACTCTCGACTGCTGATCTCTTTTTTCCACAAGCAACTTGGTGGTGATTTATGAAATTGCTACCTGTTTCCATCCCATTTCTGCTCTGACAAACACATAACTAAGTGGGTGTCTAGAGACTTTACAGTTTAGATTAAGCTGTATTATAACCATGCTTTACTTCTGCCCTGATATCCTCTCATTTTCTTTTTCTGTTAATTCCAGTCTAATCCTGCCTTTTTTAATGCTTTTGATGTGCAGGAAAGGTAGGACATAGTGACAGCTCTGCTTGTGGGCAGTTCAGCACRGACTGTATGTTAGTGAGGCTGCTTTTGCAGGAATGGTTTTCCTCTTGTTTCAAAGCAGTTATTTACAGTTAATACTCAGGGTTAATTTTGCTGGCCTGCCATCTTTGTATGTAACATGTTTTTATTTTCTCTTAGGCATCCCGACGTTGCTATATGGAATTGGCTCCTGGTTCTTTGCCAGTGTCACAGAGACTGTTCATACAAGTCATGGCCCAGTCACTATTTATTTCCTAAATAAAGAAGATGAAGGTGCAATGTACTGAAATAACACCCTCGAGTACCTGTCCTTTGGTGGGTTCCCGTGTTACAGCTACTACAAATACCTACTGCCTCAGAATACCAAAAAAAAAAAAAAAAAAAAAAAAAGACAATTCTCAATATCTATCTTAATTCAAGGAAGAGTCTTCAGGAGGCCTTCTTTTTGATGAAAATAAGTTTATTTTTGCAGAGGTTACTAAAAGGTTAAAGCCTTGGGAGAAGAATTAGTATTTTTAAGAGTGTTTGAGTTTGCTAAAGTCAGGGATAAGAACTGTTGAACAAACACTGGAATATTTTAAAAAGATTTACCTATCAAGYTACAGAACTGAACTATATTGTGTGGGAAAGGAAACTTTCTCGAAGTATGGAATGTAATTCTAAGCTGCTAGGATACACRCTGTGACTAGATGTTTTATAAATATATTGATTGGCATAGTTGCCAGATTGTTTGAAWGAGTCCATGACAGTGTTTCTTTGCAGCTGCCTGGAACACTTTGGGAAAACCACCACCCCAGAAGATTATTTATGTATTACACMTCTTCAAACAATACTTAAATAAAATATCTAAAATGTGTTTTACACCTGTATTTTTTGCAATTCTTATATTTCAGGTATCTGTATTTTTTTCATTGCTTTACAGGTAAGTAATAAAACCCAGCTAATCTAGAAGATTGAGTTTCATGCACAAATTTACAGGTTGCTATTTTTAAATAATGCAGGGGAATGAGAAGAATCCTGCGCTCAGTTTGTGATCCAGAACATCAGACRTGATGGAGAAACGACTTAAATTCTTCCAGAAACCTAGAAAAAGAGAAAGCTTGTAGGGAATTATTTGGATAGTGAAAAGTAACAATAGCTGGATAATTAGTTGAAAAACCAGGATCACCGGTACGTGATAYATTCTTCGTGCTGAGTTTAATGCTAGCAGATAAATCCCGTTCATTCTGAATTCCAGTTCTGGTGCCATAAGTTATTTATTTCAATTTCTGTAAGYTGGAATATAAATGAAAAATGGGTAGGGATTATTCTGGGGGTGGGGAATCACTGTTCCCAAATAAATGACTCTCAAGTCGTGACTATGGTATAATGTAATTTAAATACTTTTTACTTAATTCCAGATAATGGAACTGTTTCCCACTTAATGAAGCAATGCATGTGATTTTTTTTTTTTTTTTTTTGAAAGCAAGAGTAAATTACACTTTAATCAAAGAAGCAGTTACACTACTGTATTTAATTTTGGACAGTATTCTGACACAAGTTAAATGTGTCTCAGAGATGAAGAGATAGTATTACAAGAAGCATCATTAATAATAAAACTGACTGTTGGCATTTTCCTAGAACTGATTTTCACTGTATTGGCTGAAGTTAAATAACTGCAGCTCATAAGTTTAAAGTCAAATACTGCTCATTCATTGCCACGGATCTTGTCAATATCTTGCTGTAAAGGTTTAGTCYCAACACTAGGTTGATAAAATGTTTTTTAATTACCAGACTATAAATACAGCTCTTCATTGGAGTTGCACCTCCGCTCACTGCAGCTTGTTTGATTTCTGATAATGTGTACTGCTGACTTTGCTTACCYGTTTTTCAATAAATGCAGGCAGCGTGACTCCTTGTCCATACAGTGATGGGCAAGTCTCCTTAGAGAACATCTTTGACAAACTACCCTATTGATTGCTGCAATTCTGTGCTGCTTGCAGCATTAAATAGAGACTTGATTTCTTGTTCAATGATCTCACTGTGTAACAATTAAGCAAATGTAATATTTTCTTGTATTACATGAAAATCAATAGACCTCTTGCTCTTATGAAGTTGATCATGCTAAAGGATGAACTGGAAGATGTCTGAGGGCAGAGTGCAAATATAGTATCATTCACTGGTTTCATTAACACTTGTAGAAAGCCYGTTAGAGTACTTAAAAGGAAAATAAGCTATTTATAATGGCTGCTGCTTGAGTTAATAAATCATTACAAAATCATTTTCAAGTATGAATACAAACCTACTTGGTTGTCTTCAGCCAAAGGTAAAATATTCCATCTGGCTTTAATTTGCCTTTTTTTCTTTTTCCTGCTACAAAGTGTGGCTTCTTAGTATCTCACTTTTTTAWTCAGTTCTTGAGTATCAGTCTGAACACAAGACGGGACTGTTGGGTGACAAAAGGGCTGGAAGAAGAATGTCTGTAAGGCTGTGGGGACAAGGGGCCACGAGCAGCCCTGCGTGGCACGGGTTCTGTGGTACCGGGGCCTGCAGTGGAAACGCGGCTGCGGTAGCTGGTGCTTCCCGTCGGTGGAAACTCTCCTGTCTGTGGCTGGTGAATCCTGAACAGACCATCCCKTGTGAGGAGAACAGGGTCTTCTGTTAGAGAGCAATCCAACATTTGAACCAAAGAAAATAAAAGATGACTTTTAATAAGAACTTCTAACCTTATTATTATTTAACGGTGCATTATGTATTTGCATACATAGCACCAAGCAGTTGTGCTTTGCCTATAAGGATCTTGTGGAGTTGTCTTGTAACCTTGCTGCTTCAAAAGGCAAACYTGTAGGGAATGAAGCTTTATTCCACAATCATTTACCTGTAGTTATTTCAATTGGCAGATTCCTTTTTGTATATATTGAACTATATATGCTATACACACAGTTATGTTTATATTTTTGATAGATAATTGAACTAAAAAGTGACCTAACTTTTTTGCCAATTTGCTCCATTTTCATTTGAAATAACACGTAGTTTATCTTGTAACTCTTGCCCTAATTATCTCTCTCCTGTACTCAAGGACGATGTTTGAGTGAGGGATGACATAAAAAGGCAAAGAGCTTTGTTTCCCCTCAGTGAACAACTACCTCAGGTAAATGAAACCTTATTCTAAACCCAGAGGATCAGGTAGCTACTTCTTGTAGCGGACCCTTTTTCAACAGTAATGACTGCAGGGGACATCTTAACCTAAACAAGTGCTTGGCATTACATCTTACCCAGGTCAATGGTCTCAGGTATCTGAGTTAAACTGTGTTACTGTAAATTAATGGAAAATGTAACTGCGCTTTGCTGAAAGATCAATGTCCAATAAAGGCTGCACAATCAAATCTTGTTGCAATGATTGAGGTCCTTAATTGCCTTTCAAAGATAAGGTGGTAATCAACATAGGTTTAACTTATCTTTTTTACCAGTTCAATTACATGCTAATGACTATAGCCAAGTCAGGATCTTTAACTACTTATACTTATTAAATCTTATGTTTGTAGTGAAAAATTACTTAAGCTACACAATCGATAAAGCCCAGGTCTTAATTACTATATTTCACTTTTATACCTTTTTGTATGTTTGACAAATTTTTCACTAGAGACTTTGTAGAACTAATGATATTGCCCCAAGAACTACTATTTTCTGTTCCTCTATACTTATACAAATTCTGATAAGACAGGGATGTTTCTGTGCTTGTTTTCTGGGCAGTTTATTTTACATAAAGATCAGTTTTACGTATGGTAGCACTCCTCTAGGGACTAGAAGAGATGAGGTGCTGCTTGCTGACCTTCTGCAGGGCTCCGCTGCGCCTGACTTGTCCGTGTAAGTTAATACTGCAGCAACACTGCCTCTGCAGTGGAGTAAGGATTGATATTCTCASTTGTTTACAATATCATACTCTCACATTTTCTCACAAAAATGCTGCTATGTCCCTTCCTCTTAATCCCTTTCACTCGCACCATACCCACTGCTTCTCTGCAGTCTCCAGATGAACCTGGAGCCAAGTGACCTTTCATTGACTTCAGCATTTTAGATCTGTCCTTACTTTGTGTTGTTGGAATACTGTAACTGTGATTATGTAGCAGCATTTGGTAAAATCTGGGGTTTTTCTTTCTTTTTTTTTTTTTTTTTACCACCTATGCACACGTTGGCAGTCACTAAGGGATCTTAGTTTCTCAGTATTCCTGTGAAGTGAAGCAGCAGTGATCTTAATAGCAACTGCATCACTTAAGCACAATTTATGAGCCCTGTATTAGTTCACTATAAAGACAATTTATTACTTTCAGCCATATTAATAATCCTAATAATCCTAATAGGGTAAAACTGTAAAAATGAGTCAAAGCAGTCCTTCAGAGAAAAGGYTTGATCAAGGAAACTTTCAACTTTAAAACATTTAAAAATACAACATTTCTAAAGTATTCTTGAAAATTTTGGACAAAACTTTAAATATTATAAGGTCAATATCTGTTTGAGTTCTCAAAGTAGAAATGCCATTAGATGTGATTGCTACATGCTTGGTGATTCATGGGCCTGCTTATGTACCTGCTTCATGATGTATGAATTATTTAGTAAGAAAAATCACAATAACTTTGTTGTTACTCAGGAATGTATAGAAACAATTATGCAGCCCCTGAARCTGATCTGGTGGGACACAGCAAGATCACGAACAATACACCATCATTTTGCTCAATCCAACTGCTAGGGTTTGCATTGTAATTGTGCACCATATCCAACCTTTAAACAATATTAGTTACATTAAGCATAAAATATGATTGTGTTTTTATTTTTAAATATATCTTAATGCAAGAGATAAACATAATTCAACTTAAATTAAGGYGTTTGTTTTGTGTTTGTTTTGTTTTTACAATTTGAGGTAAATGAGAAAGAGAGCTCTAAGAGATCCATATGACCATATTCTGCTCCCTTGAAGAGAAAATAATACCAATTTATTTCATGATTTTGCTTGACGAACAGTCCGTTGCTTCTAAGTCGTACTGATTCAGGTCAAGAGATGGAGAAGGTGTGGAAGGAAAAGTAAGCAGTTCACTGCAAGTTTTAAATGCATTTTTAAGAGATCTTGTTCTACACTTGYGTTGTCCAACCTGGCACATTTGGGTGATTCTCTCCTGGGAGAGMCGTTTTTCGAGTACGTTTAGAAAGACCAGACACCATTGACCTAATTCTTACCATAAGCCTGAGGGAGTTCAGCTTGCTGCACTCAGTGGTAATCTGAAGATGTGAGAAGGAAACAAAGGTGAATTTCATCATAGTATGTAATATTATACACACAAAAATTTATGTATTAATCTCTCAACAACATCAACAACAAAAAAAAAGAGAGACAGGAAAGTATCTGCTACTAAAGCAATGAATCAAGTGCATTTTTTTTCCTGAGAAATGACAACTTTATTCTTTTTCATATATAAAATCTAGAAAGCTGGTTCTGGGAGGAAGTAGAGACGATAAATTGACTTTAGTGAACCAAGGACTGACAACTAGATCTTGCTTCCTCTGGGTCTGTTTTATATAATATATAAAAATTGCATGTTGTTTAGTACAGAATATGTAATACAGAAAACAGTTTTAGTAGTTTGGTCAATCTTAGAAGTGAGAAATTTTAGTACATGTAGTTCACAACTGTGAACTTCTGAGTCTGTTAACTAGTAAAGGCATTCTGTGTCAGAGCGGGAGAAAGCAGAGCAGTAGGGAGATGAATTGCCCAAAGATGCTCAGTGAGAGCTATAATGAAAAATGCAGGGCTTTCTGACTCTGCTTTATCCTGCGCTTCCTTCCTATGCCCCATTTCCTTCTATCCAATGATCTGAGCAAGACAAGAAGACAAAATTAGTTTGGGGTCCTAGTCCTGGGGTTCTAATTCACTTCAGCTCCTCATGTGGCTAGTACAATGGGCACAATTTACCAGCTTTCATTGTCATTGAATATTTACAATTGCAGTATTGCAAGGACTGACTGGGAAAACAAAATAAACAAAAAACAAACATGGCACATATGTGAAGATAGGCTTTTAAAGAGGACTGTGTGAGTCCGAAGCTTAGCATTCTCCACTTGCACTGGCCTGAGTCGCGGCTGAGATTCACCTCACCCATCCCTCCACCACTAGCATGCAAAGCAGGCAGAGAAACCTGCTAGGTCCAGGTTCCCTCTTCTTTTTACGGAGTTTCAGTAAGTGAACTTGGAACTTTGTTATACTACGACTACAGTTGCGAGAAGATGGGAAATGACCATGTAAGACACCTTCCTTTGCAGTGGGAATTAGAGAGGKAAACAAGTAATAACTTATTTCCTCACTTTTTGAGGACCTTGCAAATTATCATTTATTCCAGGGAATTGGGGAGGGGGCACAGCATTTTTCCATGCTGCTCACTGATATTCCTGTGAGATTCCACAGTATGGCCAATCAAATTTTTTAGTATTCACTTGTGTCAGCATTTTGCTTGAAAACAAACATTTATTTTCTTTCTGTGGCCATCTCAAGATCTCCTCTGTCCTTTCCAACAGCAATGGAAAGCAGCAGAGAGCAGCAGCAGACTGCACTGAGACAACTAACTGTGCTTTACAGCATGAAACCTGACTGGAAGCACTGTTGAAGGATGTTTTCCCTACACAATAAAAAACTTTTTTTTTTTTTAATTAAAAAAGTCATGGGCTTTCAGGATTCTTCTGTAATCAAATAATTTTGCAAATTTTGAAGTACTATTTCCTTGTGGACAAACTTTAGTTATGTAATTATAGATAGGATATCATGCATATTTCTTGCTGACAACATTCATCTAGACTTAGTGGAAAAATATGACTGCTTAATTATTTTTCCTGTGACTTAGTGAATTCTCTAACCCTCTGTGTTAGAAACTTTTTAAGAGGAGATTCCCATGACAGTCAAATACTGTCAAATACAAAAACTTTAAGAATGCCTTATAATACATATTAACAAATATCAGCAATCTTGCTACAAAAATTTCCCCCCGTGGTTGGGAAAAATTTAAATTTAGATGGCAGTTTAAAGTTCCATTCTCATAGCAAGAATTCTGCAGCATTGATATATTTTAACTACTTGTGGCAAACATTGGTATAGTTAGCATGAAAAYTGCTCATGAAAAGTGGATTTTTGAAGAAATACATGGCAAAGCCAAACTGTTATCAGAAAAGATAATGCTTTACTTCATAAGATATAAAAATCTCTGAAGTTTGATTACAGCTGCATCACCACAAATCAGAATGGAGCATTAAGGTTATTATTAGCCCTGGATGTGCTGCACAATATTTATGCAAATCTGGCAAATTGAGTTGGTTTTCCCCATAGTCTTGTAAATGAAAAAGGCATTTTACATAAGTCGTGRTTCTATAGAAATTCTGTGATTTTGTATCCTATTCTTTAAAATGTAATAGAAAATGAATCATCATTGAAAGGTATACAGGGACCATAGGTAAAAGGTTCATTTGAACAGAGAGAAGTCCATACGGGCAGCGCCAATTCCTTAGATACTTCTGAGTTGGGGCTCTATTAATTTCTAGTGTAGGCACTAAATTATAAAGTTACTGAACAGAGAAAGAATTTCTCTCTGCTAATGGCAATTGAARATTTTTTTTTCCTGAAGCTCTAACAACGTTTGGGGAAGAATTTTACCTCAGCAGCATGTGACTTAGCAGAGTATTCTGTGGTTTAGAGAAAGGAGAAAATAAATATGCAATAGCTTGTGGAAATCTGCTTAAAGTATGCTAATAGAGACGTGTGAATACAGAATTTTGCAAAAATTATCACATAGCCCTGTTCCTGGCTCCCAAATTTTCCTAGTGTGCTTTGCTGTATGACTGTTATTTTGTAAGATAGGGACATACTGGTAAAGTAAGGACAAGTCCCGTTTTAAAACAATGCTTAAATGACATACATATTGGCAATTTTACAACTTTCTTATACATAACCACGTGTATAGACCCGCCTGCATGGGTATTAGGGAGATAAAGTTTACTTAATAAAAAAAAAATAAGATTGACAAAAATTACGGGTCCTTGTKAACAAAAAATATTTGAGGGGCTCCCATTCGTTGTCTTTGAGGATCAGCAGCACTGGAGATTATGTCTTTTTTCCCATACTCTTAATTAATGACAAGAAGGATGTTGGGCGCTGACCTGTCTCTTTCCGATATGCTCTCCGGACGCCCGTTTTTCCTCTAAAAACTGTTGGGCGGCCGTCGTGACAGAAAAGACACGCGACGTCGCTACCGCGGAGCAGCGGCTCCCCAGTGACGGCGGAGGCGGCGACTCTCGGTTCGGTTCGGTTCGGTTCGGACCCCCGGACACCTTCCCGCCGGGCGACGGCGGTGGCCGCCCACAAAATGGCGCCGCCCCCTCCCCGCCCACAAAATGGCGCCGCCCCCTCCCCGCCCACAAAATGGCACCTCCTCCGTCCCTACCCCAAACCTCCCCGCCCACAAAATGGCCCCACCTCCCTCCCCGCCCAACAAAATGGCGCCGCCTTCTCGCGGCCGCCCCCAACATGGAGCCGCCTCCGCTCCCTCCTCCCCGGGGCTCCTTCGTTTTGATTCCGGGGCCGCCGCGAGTTCTTCCTGCTGCCGCGGGCGGGGAGGGGCCGGCGGGCGGGAGCGGTTCGGCGCGGCGCGGCCTCGGCCCTGCTCGGGAGCCCACCCGCCGCCGCCGGGGCCGCCGCAGCAGCATGTGAGGCCGGCGGGGCGGGGATGCTCTGGCTGCTCTGCGGCCCCTCCCGCGCCATGGAGAGCCAGGTGCTCGTGATCCGCATCAAGATCCCCGACGGCGGCGCCGTGGACTGGACCGTGCACTCCGCGCCGCAGCTGCTCTTCAGGGACGTGCTGGTGAGTGTCGCCTCCTCAGGGGAGTCCGGGGGGGCTCCGAAAAACACGACATTTCCCTCAGTCGGGGCTGCCGGTGTCGCTCGGTGTTCTTAAAAGCCTGGGAGAGGCGGCCTTCTTGAAAGCCTCCTTGTGTCGCTGTGTTTATGCCCGCCCCGTGGGGCAGGTGGCACCGTGTGACAGTGCCAGGGCGTGCGGCTTTCCCGTGTGACAGTTTCCCATAGGAGGAGCCTCTGGCCACGGTTAGGAAGAGGCACAAAGTACAACAGGATCTGGAAAAAGCCTCCAACCTCCCCTCTGCGAGTTGGTTTCTCTGCGTGTGCAGAAGTGGTGAAAAAAGTGGTAGAGTTGGAGCTGCCTCCGCTCCGGCCAGCGGCTTCCCGGTYATCGCTTTGGGGACATGGACAAAGTTGAGGGGTCCCCGTCATTGCCCCTCTTTGCTAGAGATGCCCGTGCCCATGTTTCCACAAGGAAAGCTCTGCCAGTTGCTGTGTGTGGTCGTGTTTAGTTTCTGCTGTCATTATGAACCTTGGAGATAGGACACACAATGTGTGGCAGTGGACAGAGAGGACACACAGAGTGTCAACGTGCCAAAGACTTCCCTTGTTGGGCCTGCTGGAGACTGCSTTGTTCACCGAGACAGGCAGCACAACTGCCACGTGCTCCATCCGGGGCTTTTCCATCACCCCACACTTCCTACAGGTGGACTAGAGGGAGCAGAGCTTTCACAGGGCAAGGGAGGGCTTTTTTTGCAGGACTCAGCTCCCCTCTGGAGATTGAGGGATCCCACTGGCTGCAAAGCAAGTCAGTAATATGAATGCGAGCCATCTGTCCTCCACATTCTGCTGCATGTTTTCCTCCTTCCCGAAGTGAAGTGGAGGACACCTGCCGCTGCTTAGATGATGCCTTGGTGTTTTACAGTTACTGAAAAGCAGGTTTGGTTGTAGCATTTACAAGGAAAYGGAGGAGCATTCTGGATGCACAGTTGTGCAAAATCATGTTCTTAGTTGTTATCCTTATTGCTACAGAAAAATAGTTGGAGATAATGCAGGCCTTATACTCGAACTGCACAGCTTGTGTACCAAGTGGATTCAAAGCAAGAGCTATTTAGTCTTAAAACACCTTCAACAGGAGCTGTAGTTTCTGGTTCACTCTGAGCCTGTGGCTCTGTGCAGGGGTCCTTGTTCTGAGGTGGGACCGAGGTCTCAAGTCTGTGTCTACGCTAGGGATGCTCATGCAGCCCAGCTGTAACTTGTGGTCAAACCATTCTGAGTATGTGAGACTCTGTGCCTTGGGTTTCTGTTGCACCTCTGCAAAGTACTGAACTAGGGTGTAGTGAGTCACCAATGTCTTCCTTCCATCAGGAGTTTGACCCATTGCTTCCATCGCATGGAGAAGAGCACGATAGAGCCCGTGACATTTGAAGTGTTCTCCCAAGGAAGCTTGGATCAATGAGCCCTTGAGGAGCAGCTGAAACCAACAGCAGCTGCAATGACCTGCAGGCATGTGAGGTGTTGTTTTCTGGGAGCTGTAGCCACTCTAATGTGAGAGAAGTGAATGGGGAAGGGAGGACAGGTGAGGAGAGCCTTCAGACTGGTACCTCTCATGTTTCTGAAGACTCTTCTTCCATGCTGATGTTCCCTGTGATGATTTCCTGGCAGTCAGCAGATGATAACCAAACAGGATGAGCACATGTTACAAACACAGGTTTTCTTGCATGGTCACAGTTACTGTAGCTATCCGTACCATTCTGGGTTCACTGATGTTCTTCCCAAGCTGCTCTGGCTCTGTACACTGGGACAGCCATGAAACACCTACTGATGTCCACTGCCTGTCCTATAGACACTTCCACCCTATGGCCACGCATAGCTGACGAGGTGGGGAGCAGCAACCCTACCAGAATCGGTTGGTTTTTTTTAGCACAGCACCTCAAACAGATACTGAGAGATTTATCAGGGTGGTAGCCCCATAAGTCGTTTGCTGTTTTATGTGATACACTTTGAGCTGGCTGTGTTATCAGTGTTCTGAGAAGGTACAGATGCTGGAGATCCTGGTCATTCTCTTCACCCAGCTTCCCTGCATGCACAGCTTTGCTCTGAAATATTTCCACCTGTGGTTCACTGCTGGAAGAATGAGATGTCCCAGGTCTTTTCTAAATGTAGGGCAGAAATCTATTCATTTTTGTGTGATTGCAGATGCAGTAGGTGATTGTGATTTTCATGTAAAAAAATCCACTCTTGTGAACTGYGAAAGGTTAAGATAAGGAGGAATAAGTGTAATAAGCTCTGCACTGTCTCAAGGCCCTCATTTGTTTAACTGATTGTGTTTTGAGAGCTGCTCTCACAGTAGGCTCATGTGCTTAATTTGTGGTTACTACAGAAATGAAGTGCATTGGGGCTCAGTACATGGTCAGCTGCGCAGGGCAGGAGTCGGGTGGGCACGAAGGCTTTTGTCGTCCTCTTATCTCCACTGTAATCTTTGCTCCCTCAGGATGCAATTTCAGCCTGCTTGTGTGCTACGGTATGAATTAAAGGTAGTATGAAGTACTGAGATGTTTCCTGGTAAGATAAATTACTGAAAAGTAATAATATAGTCATAGCCCGTTGTCTTCCTTACTGGCCCAGTCTCTACAAGTAAGACCTGGGAATGYGAGTTCTCCTCCATCCCTCTACTCCTGCAGCCTTCTGCCATGTGGGGCTCTCAACGATCCCAGCAATTTCTGCTCAGAAACCTGCTTGTGGTTCTGTGCAGAGCATGWTGTGCTTTAACAGCAGCTTCCAGCACCGTCTGCCCGCTGAATTTTGTAGGAATCCGTCTTGCCATGCGTTGTGTGGTTGGCCTTCGGTAGGCAGTTYCTAAAACCAAGCGTAGATCCCCAGCTCCTCCGTGTCGGTGAGCACAGGGCTGTTGGGTTAGCTGTGTAGCAAGAGTCTTCTCCCTTCACCCAAGTCCCATCTTCTGCTTCGTGTAAAGAAACCTCTGTAGAAATGTCTTTGAGGACAGCAAGGTTTTCTTTACATGGTTCATGTCAATTTAGCATCCTGGAAGTGTGAAGAGGCTCCTGAATATGAATGAGCTGAACTGTGAAGTGTTTYGGGCCATCAAGGAAGATTATTTCCATCTTCCTCCTCCAGAGGAGAAGTCGTGTGTGGAGTTCCAGTGTATCCCGTCYACACACGTGGTCTGCTTGCTGGTCTCATAGGATTGGGGACCTGGGCTTGAGGCTCCATGCAGCTCCCTGCACATTGCAGGATGCTTCTCCCAATTCCCAGGAACACTAATCCTGTCTCAGGGGAGCCCTTCCAGTTAGCTAAGCTGCGTAACAGGTATTCAAACTTACCTTGGCAGGGAACAGATTTGTTTTAGAGGTGTTACACCATTACATGAATTAGCCAGCCTGTATTTTTCATTGAGCTGTCTCAGTCTGCCACAGTCAACACTGAAGTATTTAAGCGCTTGGTGTTAACTCAGGATAACTTAATCATATCATACTGATATAAAATAAATTTTAAGTAATACCAGAATGAGGTTCATGGCTTAAATACTTATGGCAGTGTTAAAAGCAGCACTTCTATGTTTTTTGCTTTCCTGCTTTGGAGGTAACTGCTCTATAGTTCTACTGCAGGGCAGATTTGATAAGTTCCTCAGTTGCAGTTGTTTTCCCCTGATTTTTCTGCTCGTTTTTAGAGACTTTCTGCATACATTTTTGTAAGATAAAATGCAAACTCCCATGTTTCTCAGCTCACTTGAACAATTGTTTCGGAGTCATAGTGTTTAATTGCTTGTGATTGCTGTTGGAATAGGAGAAAATCATCACATGTCATCTGTTGAAATTCAGAATAATCCGTTGAGCTGGGAACACTGAGAGGCTGCAGGATGTTTGAGCATAGAAGTCTTATTTAGCTGGTGAAAATATTATAACAACACAGTAATYGTGATTTCTGTCCTGCTGACTGGTGTTTCTTCAGGTATATTGATTTAATAACAACGCTGAAAGCTGACTGAGCAAAGTGATGTTTTGTCGTTCTGTTTTTTAAACTATTTGTGTAAACCGGTTTTGTGACACATAGTCCTTAATCTATTTGCATATTATTAATTTTCAAAAAAAAGAGATTCTGAGTAAAGGAGAACTATCAAGGCCCTGGTGATGCCCACCCGTGTGTTGTCACGGCTCGGGGGTCCCGCAGCCCCCTTTGCGGTGGGTTTTGGGGGTCTCCGGGAGGGTCCCCAAGCCGCAAAGCCCCCGGCTGTGGCTGGAAGCAGCCCTGGGGCTTCGTGGTGCTTCAATGCACAACGTGCTCACGTAGGGGCCTTTTACAAGTGCCTTAAATTATTGCTCAGGTCTAACACAATTAAAGCACATTTGCTGAGAAATTTTTAATATTTACACAGATTTAGAAATAATTACTTACTGCCCAGTAGTCTCTCTAGGTAAGCC